ATCTCGTGCAACTCAGACCTCACATCGCAATCATCACACACCACCACGCTCGCATGTCACAGATTCAGATCTACCATCCGCAAGGTCAAAGGGGAGGCGCCGATATGTACCGCGCATATTGTCCGAATCATGCGCTGAGCACTGGCGACAGCAGAGCTGCGTACCTTCCTCATTCGTGGCAAACCACGAGGTTTCCGCGTGCGCTGAGTATGCCGCCATCTCACGGCTCTCCCATATGATCTCTCGTGTCACTTGATCTCATCTCAGCTCTCTGCCTAGAACTCAATCACGGCGACTACTCTTCCGCTGACAGCGCAATAGCGACCACTGTGGCAGCAGTTTCTTCAAGCAGCGTCGACAACGAAGCACCCTGATTTTCGTAGCTTCCACTGATCTCTATGCGGCGTCAGAACCAAAGAAACGCGATCCCTCACTTCCATTGTTCTGCCAAGAACAGCAAACACCGCATTGCCAGCATAAGACAAATGCGTTGAGCAGCCACGTTCAAGAATCGGACACTAATTGATTGTCACATCTTTGAGAACACCAAAACAGCTTGACTCACTTTGATGCAAGCACCAGCTCTCGTTTTGAACCCCTACACCATCTCTACTACATCACATCAACCTGCAACCACTCTTCCGCAACACCACCCGACAATGGCCAACTCTGCAGTCAAGATGTCGACGAGCCTGCCAACAGCACCAGCTCATCCAAGTCAATCCATTTCAATCAGTAACCCCGACCCAACGGCATCTCAACCACAACTCGCCGCCCACAGCTCAGCCGCAGAGATCCTTCGCCAGGTGGAGTTCTACTTCAGTGATGAGAACCTGCCCCACGATGCCTACCTCCTCGGCTTTGCTGGTGTCGAGGGCACCAACCCGGTCAGCCTCAGTCTCATCATGGGCTTCAAGAAGATGAAGCAATATAGGCCAAAAACGATGGTCCGCGAGGTCCTGAGAACAAGCACCGTCGTAGAGGTGGTTGACAACAAGCACATCCGTCGTCGAGAGCCGTTGAGCGTGCGGCCCACCGTCACTCCGCGTATCGATCCCGGTAGATACGCCTCGGATCTTGGTCGTGTCGAGCCGCATCTCACCAAGAACATGCTCAAGCCCACGGGTTTTGAGCCCGGAGCCACTGAAGGTCCGATCACGCCAGCGCAATTCGAGAAGTACAGCCCGGATGAGAACATCCTCGTACGTCTGGAGACGGCGGTCAACAGCTTCAATGCCAACCGCAAGATGCATCAGAACACCCGTGCTATCTTCGAGAAGCTTATGATCTTTGGCGGCTTCGCGCAAAACAGCCACATGTTCCAGGGTGGTATGAACAAGAAGCAGATGAAACAGGAGGGTATGGACAAGGAAGAGATCGAGCAAGCTACGGCTCATTATGGCGTGACGGAGCAGGTGACAGATGCTTACTGGAAGGAGTTCGAGGAAGGGGAGAAGTCCAGCTGGGTTGTCGACTTCGAAGCGATTGCGAAGGCTTTCTTCTCGTCTCAATTCCTGCAGTGGTTCGACTGGACGGACGCAAAGCAAGTCACTACCGCCGCGCAGGTGTTGCGCAACTTCTACAACTACCTCACCGTCCATCCGGTCTGCCCGGAGTACAACGACCAGATCCTTGCGGCTCGGAAGGTGTGCGATTTGGCGGAGCAGGAGTTGCCCAAGCTCGCGATCGTCGACCGCAGTCTACCGGGGGCTTTCAACAGCGCTTGTTCTACACTCTTCGGCGGAGCGTTTGCGAATGTCTACATCTCCCAGGCGGCCAAAGACAGCTGGGGTCACGGAGCGGACAACGTCGGCCTCGACCGTGACGAGGCTATCACGATCTTTATGGCTGGTCTCGCCAGTCACGGTACGTCAGAGCAGTGTGAGAAAGCTAGCAAGCTTGGAGATGTTAAGTGTCTCTCCGAAGAAAGGATGGGTCTCGAAGTCGTTGCTGTGGAGCTCCCAAGCGACACAGTCAAGGAGACGTACGATTTCCTACGCAAGCGTGAAGGTTACAGCGACTTCGTCCACGCGATGGGAAAGCTCGTGTGCAAGCGCTGGGATACTCCGTTCGATGCTCCGCTTGACTTGCCTGCTTTCATGATGGAGGAGAAAGCGGACAAGACGCAGCGATTTGAGTTCTTGGTTGAGGCGGAGACTCTGGCGTTCTGTGAACCGGGCATGAAGATGGAGGCTGTTGTCAAGGAGTTGGATCTCGGCATCAAGTGGCTAGATGCGGTTGAGGTCGTGTACCCGACGTTCCACACCTGGTTGCCGAACGAGAATATTATGGCGTGGAAGGAGCCGGGTCCGCCGACGGCGTGGATGAAGAGGCAGGAGGCGAGGAAGATGGGCTTGTCGGAGGAGGGCGAGGGTGAGGATGTTGCTGAGGAGCAGGGTGACTACGATGAGGAGGAGCCCGACTAGAAGTCTGATGGCATAAGCAGCGGCGTCTTGGCAAACCCTGGCCCTTGCAAGATTTCGGCCGCTAGAAACGTGCCTGCCGAAAGCGAAAGCGGGGTGCTTTGCGATGCAGTCATCGGCGGCTGAGAGCTTGAATCGGCCCTGAGGGCGGCACAAGCAATAAGCACGAGCTTGAGATAGTATATCCAAACACTGTTCCGCTTAACATCGTACATGTCTCTTCCGCGAATCCTTTCCAGGACTACACGCCGCGCAGCTTCCATATCCGCACATCTCACACAACGTACACTGCAAACACGAACCATGGCTTCTGTACCAAGCACCATGAAAGGTGTGATCATTGAGACAACGGGCGGAACAGAAGTCTTGCAGTACAAGACCGACCTCCCTGTACCGTCACCAGGAGATGGCCAGGTCCTGGTTCACAACGACTACGTGGGAGTGAATTACATCGACACCTATTTCCGTACAGGACTTTACCCAGCACCAAAATACCCCTACATCCTGGGACGAGAGTCAGAAGGTACTGTTGTCAAGACAGGATCGGGCGATCTGTATGGACTTCAAGAGGGTGATAAAGTTGTCATGTTGTCCGAGGGCACCTACGCAGAGTACACTGCAGCCAATGCCGCGAAAGCTGTGAAGATCAAGTCAGGACTGGAAGCGAAGATTGGAGCTGCGGCATTGCTACAGGGTCTCACAGCATTGACGTTGATACGCGAAGCTCATCCAGTAAAAAAGGGTGATTGGGTTCTTGTCCACGCTGCGGCTGGAGGAACCGGGTTGTGGCTCGTCCAGTTGCTGAAAGCAGTGGGAGCGAACATCATCGGCACGGCGTCGACGCAGGAGAAGGTCGATCTGGCGACTAAAGCAGGAGAGGGAAGCATTACCATGATCAACTACAGCAAGGATGATGTGAAGAGTAAGGTCATGGAGTTGACGAACAATGCCGGGTGTGTTGCGATCTTCGACGGTGTTGGGAAGGATACCTTTGATCTCTCGCTTGAGTGCTTAGCACGGAAAGGCAGCATGGTGTCTTTCGGCAACGCCAGTGGTGCCGTACCGCCATTGACAATTGCGCGTCTATCGCCCAAGAACGCACGGCTGTTGCGGCCGACGCTCTTCGGCTACATTACCACCAGAGAGGAGTTTGAGCATTACGTGGATGAGTTGATGGACTTTGTGACGAAGGACAAGCTGGATGTGAGGATCCATGAAACATATGCTCTGAGCGATGTTGCGAGGGCACACAACGATCTTGAGGGTCGGAAGACGACTGGAAAGCTATTGCTTGATCCGTCGAAATAGGTGGCTGTACATAGAATTGCGCTGTATATGTGGTATCTACATCTTCGAACTTTGAGCAACGGCTTTTCTGTGCATCATCGTCGCAGAACCCTGGTACGCCGTCAGCTCTATGATCGTCTGTGCATGACTGTCGCCGCGGCCTGCGTTCGTCAGCGCTGCACATATGTAAGGAGAGCACAACTCACCTGATGGTTCGGGTAGACAAGCATATCAGCAATGACCACGTTCTCTGGCCTTCCTGCTGCGAACACAATCGTCTCCGCAATGTCGTCTGGTGTTAAAGGAGTCACACCCTCATATACCTTATCGGCTTTCACCTTGTCTCCTCCAAAACGCACAACACTGAACTCCGTCTCGACCTGTCCTGGGTCAATCTCCATGACTCGTATCCGCGTTGCAATCAACTCCATGCGTATCGCCTCGGTGAACGTCCGGATTGCGGCCTTCGTAGCACAGTATATACTGCCTCCCGGGTAGCCTGCTCGTCCAGCAATTGAGCCGATGTTGATGATATCGCCCTGACCTGACTCTCCTCGTGTCCGGAAGACCTTCAGGCAGGCTTGTGTCATGTTGATTAATCCGTTGACATTCGTAAGCATCATGGTATCGATGTCCTCTTCTTTAATATCTCCCGCCTTGTCGACGCCTTTTACGAGGCCGGCATTGTTGACTAAAACGTCGATATCCTGGAACTCCTTGGGAAGGTTAGGGATGAACGATCGCACTTCGTCGGCTTTGCTGATATCGAGCTGAACGGGTAGGACCTGGACGCCATCGCCGACTTCCTTCTTGATGTCCTCGGCTACTTGCTTCAGGGCGTCGATTCGGCGGGCAGTGATAATGAGTTTGAGGGACTTTGGTGAGGTGCGGGCGAATTCGATTGCGGTGCTCTTTCCAATGCCGGACGAGGCGCCTGTCACGATGATTGTCTTGCCTTCGAGGCGCTTGCCCATGGCGGAGGACATCGTTCGGATACTGCTGCGATATGTGAAGGGTAGAGTTGCAGGACGTGCTGTAAATGTTGCTGCCGCAATACGTATGAATGTAGATGTTTGCCGGAGAGTCATGAGATGCAATGGCGGGCAAGGAAATCGAAGAGAAATACTTGCCGTTGCTCTAGCTGTTCAATGCATGGAGCAGCGAGCTCGGAGGTGCTGCTGGTAGGCGTCACTTCAACGGCTCGGCTCAAGCTCGGGGCCATGGAATTTTTACTATATGTACGGTATTAGCATTTTCGCAGCCATGAATCAGCTATTAGCTGCTCAGTCTGGTTGTATGGTGTAGTGGATAGCACTCCAGATTCTGATTGAAGGTGCTACCGCCATGGTGTGCCTATCATTAAATTCTGGCGACCCCAGTTCGATCCCGGGGTATCTAGAACCCAAAATGACCGCTTTACGCTCAATTGCTAACAATCAATTAGTACGACCTTCCAGTTCGTAATAAACGCTTTCTTTTGCCATTTTTTCCCCGTGCGTAAGCCTCCTGTTGCGTATACCAGCGCTGAAAGTTTTGCAGTAAGAGGTCGAAATGTTCATTTTCACCAATTGGAAGACCGTGCGTCCACCAAGGCCGGCAACGACGATAGGAACCTTCTACTTTATTACTCACCCCGCGAAGTGTGATCATGGCATTGCAATAGGTCCGGCGTCGCCAACCAAACCAGATACTGTGCCACTAGTCCTCTCCACAAGGTCCTAGTCGCAGAACAGGCAAGCAGACCCATGGGAGGCATGCTCCCGACCACGAGATCTCCAAGCCGGTCAGAGATGCTTATGCCACATGATCAGCCTATCTGCAGCTTCCCTCGTACCTGGCCCGACGCCAACAATACCAATCTTACCATTTTGGCCATGAGGCCGCCAATGTCGAAGATTCCCCGTCAGTCTGGACACTAGATGAGATTCTCCCTCGCGGATCCTGTACTGTGTCTTGATATGCCGTACCCGCTCAATATCACGGTAGTTTCAACACATAATGCTTGATCACAAGCTCTTACGATCTCAGCCGGACCAGCTTCTTGGTCCTTGTCACACAGCTCAATTGTCAGCTCAACATATTCATGTTACGGACGGACAAGATGTGCAAAAATGCTAGTTTCTGAAGCCCTTGGACGGCTGACGCACGATCGCCCATGTCCTGGTGAGACTTGGCTAGTAGTACGATGAGCAAGTCAGCGCAATGCTTGTGAACAAATGTAAAAAAATTCGCAGTACTAAAATGGGTATACAAACTTCCACGTGCTCCCGGTTCACACGCGCAGCGGGCCGGCAGCCATCTTCGCCAGCTACACCGCAACTCTTTACTGCCATCGCTGGCGATCTGATCAACGCCGGAACTCCATCGCTAGTACATGTCCTCGCAGATGCAAACACATTGCAGACTCAAAAAGCCGATTGGGCTCTCCGAGTAGGCTATACGCCAAGCGGCACACTGCCATCATGAAACCTAGAACAAAATCACACGTCAGCATCAGCATCCCATCTTCAACCACGCCACCGCCGGAAGAGGGGTATACTTACACATACTCCTCATACGTCATGCCCTTGACCTTCCTCTCCACCGTCCCATCCGCCATCTTCGTATCATTCCAAGGACTCGGCTCAAAACTAATCTCCCTCCACACCTTGAACAACTTCCTCCAATAGCAAGTCTGAGCCGCAGGAGTGAAGTACTGATCTCTGAACTGACTGGCGGCATTATCAGCTACCCGCTTCGCCTTAGCCGGATCTGCAATTAACTCCTCCATCTTGCCCGGCAGATCAGCCCAGTTGTTCTCAACTTGCACGTAATTCTGCTCCGGACCTTCAGGATTAAGCAAGTGGTAGAGATGAGTATACCAGCTGAGGTGATGGATGAAGATAGCTGAGTGACAGGACATCAAGTACTTCAAGCGACCGGACCAAGTAGTGCCTTCGGTGTGGACGGCGAATTTGTAGCGGCAGTGGTCCGGCATACTGATCCTCGCGTCGGCCCCAGCATCATCCTCGTGAACTTTCTTGACATCCGACCAACTCTTGCCTTCGGTTTGAGCAATAAGTTGACCCCGGAGTTCCGCGTTAAAATCCACGGTGCCGCGCCAGACCAGTTTGTCCCGTTTAGCAGAGAAGTCGTCACCTTGAAGGGCAATAGCTTGCCGCTGAAAGTCGCCGTACGCGCCCGCAACACGAGGATATGCCCAGAAGTTAAAGTCTGGGATAACCCATACGCGATCCATAATGGGGTCGTGGATGTTGCGACTAAACGCCCAGACGGTAATGGAAGGGTTGTGCGGCGTGAGGTTAATGACATCGTTGATTTTGATCGCGAATTCGATGTCTGGGATTGGTTCCGGGGAGCTAAGAATGGCGCGCTGGATGTTGTGGAGGGTGGCGTGGGAGCGCTCTTTCCAGTGGCCGAAGTGGTTGAGGCCGCGAGAGTGGGTAATGTAGAGCTGGAGTATATCGTCAGCATGGCCCCGCTATCGTGAGCTGGGTGTATGGCGTACTTGTTGGTTATAAATCATACCCATCATACCTCCATCTCCGCTCCACTTCAAATCTATCTGCTCGGGACCAATCTTCTTCTCGCCTTGCTGCTTCTTCCAGAACTCCTTCGCGCGGTCGATCTCATGGTATAGCAGCGGGAACGCCGTATCGCATTGCGCTTGGGTGAGCGAATGATTATCCCGATCGGTTGTCGCATTAAACGTATATCGTTCTGCTGCAGGCGGTGTCGGTATCTGTGTCTGTGCCTTCTTCACCTCCTCCACTCCTTCCTTAACCATCGCCGGCACTCCTCCTCCATACCCAAACTGCTCTCCAAGCTGCGTCGACGACCGCAGTTGCCCAAAACTAATATACCCAACCACCACCAACGCGACCAGAATCACCAGGTTGCGCCGACTGCGCAACGGGCGCCACATATCGGTACTCGTCGCTGAAGCCATGGCTGCTTGGTCCGTGGCTTCAGACGAAGCTGGATTAATTCCGTAGCATCCTGGAGGTAGAAGCAGCAAGTAAGGAGGCCATTAGAAGTCGTACAGTGTTCAGCCCTGTAATCATGTCAAGGCGGTGCCCTGCATACGAGAGTTGCTTGGTAGTGGGGCGGAAATGAGATTAGGTTAGTTAGGGCTTAGTCAATTAATTCAAAAAGGGGATGAGTTATTCTGGTTGATCAGTCGACCACGGAACTCCATGCTCTGCTTATGGCAAGTGGTAGCCATGGCAAAGATGGCGATGAGGAGACTTTGACTGGAGTGACATAGTATCTACGACGCGAACAGACTATTCAACACCCTCCCCTGCTCCACCGTCTGCCCTTTCACACCACCACCTTCCGCCTTCCTCTGCTCAAACTTCCTCCCACCCTTCACCTTCTCCTCCAGCACAACCGCCTCGTCCCTCCCGACCTTCGCAGCCCTCTTCCTGACGATCCCTTCGACCATCTTCCCTCGTTCCACATCCTCAACAAAAGCCTTATTCTCCTTCCTCGTCCTCCTCACCTCATCTCTCAGTCTCGCAACCCTCTCCGCATTCTCGTTAGCAATCTGTTCCGTCAAATCCTTCCACTTAAACCCAGACAAATACTTGACGTTCCACATATCGTCCCTGTAGAACCCGCCTTTCTTTCCGCCCATGATATTGCCATTCAGCAACTGCGCAGCGTTTTTGGCTTCGGTTTTGGATGTAAACTCTACCCACCCGTCTGTGAAAGACTTCTTCTTGTTGCCGCCTCGTTTTACGCGGGCAGAGTGTTGATGGTGCTCTTCGGGTGTCAGAAAGATGCGGCCTAGACCTTTACTTGCGTGTGGTGTGAGAAAGTGTCGGAGGGTTTGGGGTTTCATGAATGGAGGGACGCGGGAGATGTAGAGGACGCCTGATTTTCGTGTAGCTTTTTCGGCCGCTGCGACGGACTTGGGCCGTTTTTTCGTAGTTGTAGCAGTGAATGACGGACCTTCCTCCTCGAAGTCGCTGCCCAGCTCGAAGCGTTGCTCTCCAGGCGCGGCCGCACTTTGTACGCGCACTACGCTCTCCTTCTCGTGCGCATCCTCCTGTTCATCAAAACTGTGAAAAGAGCCACCATCTGAATCCTCGCCCGAGTCCTCCTCAACTTTCCGCTTCTTGTTCACCCTCCCGCCAATGCCTGCTCTACCATCCTCGTCTTCAGAGTCATAGCCATTCCCGTCGTCGTCGTCATCACTGCAGCCTTCCAGAAACTCGTTGCGCTTGCGTACAGACATTTTTTGTTTGCTGGTTTGAAGCGCACATGCACAGATCTGCAAGCTCATGTTACAGAATTTCGGCAGCGTCCCGAATGTCTCACATCCATGTCTCACGTTGCACTAGGGGGTGGCAAGCATATGGCTATATCTTGGCGTTGGTTATGTTGAGCACAGTCAGCTTGGAGATGAAAGAGCGATGGCACATCTATAGATAGCGAGTATAGAACCGAGACAGTTGTCTACGTCTATCCTCATTCACTGTGAGATTATAGATTGTACAGTCAACGCTATCGGGAAAGATATGGAAATACATGCCACGTTGTGCCCAGAGTCTCGAAATACAGCGGATCAGATTAACCTGCGTACGCCCCTAAAACCCAACTGTCGATCGTGGCGTACAAAACTCTCCTTTCCGATACAGTAATCCCACATCATCTCTACAGATACAAAATGCACACTACATCCACCGACATTCCTTTGCGCGCGGCCAGGCTTGACATCTTCGTCGCCTTTGTACTGGGATGAACATGCCCCGACGACCGCTCCTGGTCCTCGCCAGCATTGCCGCCGCAGCAGTCTTCTTCGCTTTCATCCTCATCCCGGCGACGCCTGCATATAGAGGCTTGCATGATGTCCTGCCATCCAAGTGGGGCTCTTCCAACACCGATCGCAAGGTTACACCACAACGACCTGCTATCGTCTACTCCGCAGAGGATCTCGCGGAAGCCGATCGTCATGCGCTGAAAGCCTTGAAGCTTGGAGGACCGTTCGAGTACCGACGACGATGTATTGACGTGAGGAAGGCTAAGGCCGTGAAGCGCACGAAATTGGAGAGGGTAGAGAGAGGATTGTTCGAGGTCCCGGCTAGTAAGGGGTTGACTACTAATGATCCTTTACCGCCTTGTCAGGAGACTTTGAAGGTGGATGTGCCCTACTTCGATGAGAGGGCGGAAGTCGACACGAGTGAATTGTTTCTTGGTGTGGCGACGAAGTTATCTCGCGCAAACGACAGTGTGACTGCGTGGGCGAGATGGCTTGCGGAGACTGGTTCGCCGTTGCTGGTTTTACTGGTTGATCAGGCGAATCTGACTGCTAAGGCTGAGGAGATCGAGGCTGTGAGAGCGAAAGCTGAGGCCCACGGCATTGAGATGCTGTTTGAGCCTTACACAGGCAATCCGAA